AATAATAAAAAAAATTACCCCCAGCAAGCAATGCAAAACCATTTATTTGGTTTAGAAGTGGAACGCAAACCAACACAATGGTAGTGGTACCACTCTAAACACCCCTCACACTCAATCATTTTAAACTCCCCATTGTCCCTTTCTGCACAAGATTTGCAGGTAAAAAGGTCTTTCTCTTTTTTTTCTGCAACTCTGGCCTGCAGAATCGCCCATGCCTCTTGAACAAAGAGATTTTCAATAAATGAAAAAGAAATGCTGTCATTGGCAAAGACCGATGATATGTCTTCTGTTGACTTTATATTACATACGGAGTAAGGAGGAAGGGCAGTTAAATCTATGACACATCCCGACAGAAGCATCTGCCTCTTGACTTCCCTTAATCTGGAATTGTAGACCTGTGGACAAGCTTTTCTTTTGCTGTACCTCCTGGTAAAAGCCTGTGTCTGTCTAGGTCTACCTTTTGTTTTGACCTGGGACAGTTTAACACTAGAAAATCCACAAGATGATACAGCAGGGGATGAAACAGCGATAACAAAATCAGCACCAAGGCTTTCAGACGACACTGATGAAGTAGATTCACACAGAGTGGGCAAGGAGGCAACACCAAGACTGTCAGAAGACAGAGAGGGAGGTGGCAGAGTCAAATTGGGCATAACAGCAGCATCGAGGCTTTCAGAGGACAGAGAAGGAGGTGGCAGAGTCAAATTGGGCATAACAGCAGCATCGAGGCTTTCAGAGGACAGAGAAGGAGGTGGCAGAGTCGAATCGGGCATTACAGCAGCATCGAGGCTTTCAGAGGACAGAGAAGGAGGTGGTAGAGACAAAGTGGTCAAGACAGCAGCACCAAGGCTTTCAGAGGACATGGAGGAAGCGGGCTCAGGTAATTCCGAAAGGTCAATTACAGCTACAGCACGGTCAGATTTAATGAGGGAGAAAACTCTGTTGAGATGAGATAATGCAATTTGAAAGGCATGCTCCCCCAATAAAGGAAAGAAAGATTCAATGTCCTTAGTTATTTCTCTAGTAAGATGGTAACGGGACTCAGGAGTGCTGGCATTTCTCGTTGGAATGATTTCATGTGTGATACTGTGATCATTAGAGACATGAAGAACTGGATTGACAGGAGTGCTTTTAAAGCGTTCATTATTGCAATGATAGAGTGGCAGACAAAGATTAGACCGTAGAGCAAATATGTGTCGACAAGGTAAATGGAATTTAAAGAAGAAATCACAAGAACAGGAATCAATAGTGCAGTCGTACGAAGAAGAGCCAGGTGTTGATGATGACAAAATGTATGTGTTAGGAGAAGTTAGAGAATTTTGAAAAAGATAGTGAGTTTTCTGATAGAGAAGAAATTGTTCTATGACAATTTTTGCGCCAAAAGGAGTAAGGTCATTCTGAATTGTGTTAACAACATCAGAATTATATTTAGTGTTGTACTTTAA